CTGCTCAGCAGGGAGTCTGCTTCTCCCTCTGACCCTCCCCCCTCTCATGCTCTATCTCATTCTCTCTCTCAAATAAATAAATAAAAAGAAAAAGAAATCTTTAAAAAAAAAAAAAGTTCATGCACCCGCAGAATTCTGTCCTTTACCCTCTTTTTCTCCTCATTCAGTGTATTCTCTCTGGGTGAGTGCCCTGTTATGATTTTAACTTCCTCTTAAGGACTCTAAAATCTGTACCATCAACCCAAATCTAGCTCCTAAGCCCCAGAAGCATATATCCAACTGCCTACTAATCTCACACTTCAAATTTACAATGTTCCTGACTGAAATCACTGTGCCTCTTTTCCCCCAAAACACACAGACTTCTTCCCTACTGTGGAAAATGACTCCCCCATTCACCCAGGCTCGAAATCTGGATACTACTGTGAATCTATTCTTCTTCACCTTCCCATAGCCCAATACCCTCTGAGTCCTGCTACATCCTTCTCCATCCCCAATGCTTAAGGTCAGGTTATCATTACTTCTTGGCTTGGTACTCAGTGGGTCCCAAACATCAATCAGTAAGCCCAGTATAGAGCTAGCTGCATAAGAATCATTCATGAAGCTTATTAATTACACAAATTCCTGGGTTCCACCCCAGAATTACTTAAAATCAGAATCTCAGGGGTATGAGCCCACAAGTCTGCATTTCTAACAAGTTCCCAAGATGACTCCAATGAGCAGCAAGTTTCGAACCACTGTGACCCACCTGATCTCCCTCTTCTCAGCCTATTCTCTCCAATCTGCCCTCCACACTGCTGCCAGAGTGTCTGATCACATCATTTCACTGCTTAAAATTCTTCAGTGGTTCCCTCCTGCCTATTTATAGCATAGGACAAAATCCTAACCACTTGACACGGCAAACGATACTTCCCATCATTCCTTATCCACACACCTACCTTCCTCTCCTGCCAGATGTCTTAAAGCCCAGTACCATCAACCTCCACCTCACGGTGTTTCATCAGCCCTTCCTTATCTAACTCGTGAATATCGATTCATTACCAACTCCAGAGTTACCTCTACAAAGCCATCTCTGATGCCACAGCTTCACTTACTTACCTGTCCAGCCACAACAGGTCATGTGTACCTGTGGTGTTCTCACCAACCCTGTTCATATGTACTTACTGGTGTATACACCTATCTTCTTTTGTTAGATTCTAAGCTGCTTGAGAGTAGTGACTATGTATGCCTTATTTATCTTTCTATTCCCAGAACTTAGCAAAGGGCCCAGCAGGTAGAAGAAGATTGATAAATGTTTATTGATGAAGAAACGATTCTTGGACTCTGGAGCACGCCAGGATCAAGACTAGATTCAAGTGTACATAACATATTTGGCTGTAGATATGCTTAATATACTAAAACATAAGGCCATTTTGGAAAGTGATTCCTTAGAATAAGGAGTTCCAAAGATGACTCTAACACTTAACACTCATTGTGAAGTGCTAGATCTAAGTGTGGGTTAAAAAAACAAAAAGGAAAACAACCAAATAAACATCATAATATTATTACTTAACAGTAGTCCTACCTCATGTTTTTTCTGTGTAGTTTCACATAAGTTTAATCTTAACTTTTTAATATGTGCTAAATGTTTGAATTAAAGAAATACTATAAACCTAATAAACACATCTTTTAAAATGTCAACCTGCTAGCAACCTAGAGTATTTGTTAGGTAAGTCAATGATGAAATTTTTATCCTGCAGACCAATTTGCATTTCCCAATACAAGGCTTTAACACATTCAAAATATTTTTACTATTTTGTTCCTTAATCTTTATTTTATGTAAATTTTACTTCCTAAAAAAAACAGGTTTGTGCAAAATAATTAATTCATGTTTGAGACTTCCTATTTGTCTAACTACCATGATATGCCAATACACATAAATAATCTCTGTCTTGGGCGCCTGGG